CAACCATAAAACACCTGATAAAACCTAAGCCGGCCTTAGGCAAACCATAACCAAACTCTAAAGAAATTTATACACGTCTCAAACAAAGCCTAAATAAACCCTAAACCAACCTCATCTTCACCATGAACCGACCTTACATAAATTTCTAAACCAACCCTACAAAACCTACCTTACATAACCAACCTCTATCAAGCCTTAACCAAGCCTTGCAGCAACCATAAATCCCTAAATAACATCCAAACAGATTTATATAACCAACCATGAATAGAATTTAAACAAACCACCAATAAACCTTAGACCATCCTCAAATGGTTTTAAACATTTTTAACCAGCCATCCCATTGAGCATGCAGGAAACGCAGGAAGTACAGTTTTTATTTTCGAAAAAGGAATCACTTGCAGCCACTCGAGTGGCCAGAAGTGACCGCAAGTGACCGCAAGTCACCTATTTTACAGTACCAAGCCAGTCAAGTCGGTCATTTGCGGTCACTTGCAGTCACCCGGGTGGCCGCAAGAGACCGCAAGTGACCGCTGAAGCAAGTGACCGCACGCCTTGATCCCGAAAAATGTTCTACATTTTTCGCGCCTGCTCACGGAAAATGCTCCGCAATTTCCGGACCGAAACGAATGACGGATGTTGAAAGGAAAAGGGGTGGCTTGACACGAGGGAGGAGGCGTAAAAACAAAAAGACGCGTGGAAAACGAAAGAGATTCTACACCCAAGCCATACAAAAAGAGGTGACTCGAAACAAAACCGAGAAGTTGGAACGAAAAGGGGCGACTTAAAACAAAAGAGATGAAAGAGGCAGGACCTAAACTTGTGAGGGAAAGACCTGAAACGAAAGAGGAGGCTTCAAAACGAAAGGATGTGTGGAAAACGACAGGGAAAGGAGCTTACTTTGAAACGACCAGGGGCGATTTGAAACGAAACGCAGAGAAGTTGAAACGAAAAGATGTGCCTTCAAGCAGAAGAGGCAGGACCTAAACTAGAAACTTATAGGAGGGTCTTCAAAATCAAAGGACGTGTGAAAACGAAAGGGAAAGGAGCTTACTCTAAAACAAAATGGGGTAATTTGAAAGGAAACAGAGATGTTGGAACGAAAAGCGCTAACTTAAAAACTAAGCAGAGACGTTGAAACGAAAAGGGGTAAAAGGGGTGGCGGGGAACAGCTTCTAGGAGCAGATGCTCAGAGAAATTGGGTCCTCACAGAAGGTGTCTGCCGCCCACAATCGCTGATGCTAAGCTTCAAGATCTTCTCTTCGGTTTTCAATCATGCAACACTCCAACATCTTCTCTTCAATATTCTGCAAGCATTGATGCTACGCTCCAAGGTCTTCTCTTGCATTTCTAACATCATTAATGCTGCTCGTACCGTCAAAGATCACTCTGACTGCCGAATATTTCACCATCATTGATGTTACACTTCTACGAGCATTGTTGCTTTGCTCCAAGACCTTCCCTTCAACATTCGAACATTCTACCATCATTGATGCCACGCCCTAAGATCTCCTTCTCAATTTTCACACATTGTGCCATCATTGATTCTACGCTAGCTCTGAAAACTTCTTTTCAATTTGCTAACATATTTGATGCTACGCCCCAAAATCATCTCAAATTTCCCACATTTTACCATCATTGATGCTACGCCCTAAGGTCTTCTCCTCAATTGTTGAACATCACTGATGCTACTCAATCTTCTATCATTCTACCATCATAGATGCTTTGCTCAAAGATGTTCTCTTCATAATGTGTTTCGTTCTACCATCGTTGATGCTATGCTCGAAGATTTTCTCTTCAATTTTCCAACATCAGCGATGCTACGCTCTAAGATCTGTTTTGCAGTATCTACTTTCACTGATGTTTCGCTCTGAGATCATCTCATTAATTTTCTACTATTGTTCATGCTACGCTCTGAAATATCCTTTCTTTCCAACGTTCTACCATCATTGATGCTACGCTCAACCATCATCCTTTCGATTTGCTAACTTTCATCCATGGATGCTACACTCTAAGGTCTTCTCTTCATTTTTCAAACATTCTACCATCGCTGGTGCTACGCACATTGTTTTTCTCTTTGCCGATCTCAACTTCTACAATCATTGGTGTTTTGCTCTAAAATCTTCTCCGCAACTATCAGACATTCTACCATCATTCATGCTATGCTCCAAGGTCTTCTCCCTATTTTTTCTATAACATCATTAACGCTATGCTTTAAGATCTTCTCTTCAAGTTTCTTTCATTGATGCTGAGCTCTGAGATCTTATCTTCATTTTCTCACATTGTTCATGTTAGGCTCCAAGATCTTCTCTTCAACCTTCTAACATTTTCCAATCATAGGTGCTTTTGCTCAAGGGTATTTTCTTCATTTTCTCATTCTACCATCATTGGCGCAACCCTCTCAGATCTAATTACTATTAAATTTTCATACATCATTGATGCTGCACTCATAGGTCTGCTCTTCAATTTTCTGACATAGTACTGCATTGATGCTACTCTCACTCTCCAACATCTTCTCTTCAATTTCCGTTCATCATCTTTGCTGTGCCCTAAGACCTAACCAACTTTCAAAGATTCTTCCATCACTGATGCTACCCTCCAAGATCTGCCGGGCACTTTTCCAGCATTCTACTTTTTTTTGCTTTGCTCCAAAGATTTCCCTTCGATTTTTGAACATTCTACCATCATCGATGCTATGCTCTAAGATGTTCTCTTCAATTTCCCTACATTCTACCATCAGCGATGCTATTCTCCAAGGCGTTCTCTTCAATTTTTGAGCATCAGCGATGCTATGCTCTAAGATCCTTCTTTTCTTCAGCAGTCCACCATCTTTATTGATGCTACGCTTCAAGATCTTCTCTTCAACTTACAAGATTCTACCATCATTATATAATGCTTTGCTCCAAGGTCTTCTCCCCAATGTTCAAGCATCATCGCTGCTACGCTATAAGACTTCTTTTCAATTTTCTAACATCATTTATGCTACGTTGCCAGATCTTTTGGTCAGTTTGTCTTACAATTCCACCATCATGGATGATACGCTATAGGAACTTCTCTTCAATTTTCAAACGTTCTATCTTCATTATTGCTGCGCTCTAAGATCTTCTCTTCAATTTTCTAACATCACTGATGCTACGCACTAAGATCCAACCAACTTGCAGGCAGTCTACCATCATTGATGCTACGCACCAAGATCTTCTCTTCAGATTTCGAACATTCTACCATCATTGATGCTGCGCTCTAAGTTTTTGTCTTCAATTTTCCAACATCAATTGATGCTACAATTTAAGATCTTCTCTTGAAAACACGTTGAACACACTAGATGCACCCGGGACACAAGTAGGTTGATCCCCAAAAGTAACTCCGCGGGAACAACCAAACTTCGCTCCTCTTCGTAGTTTTGAATCAATCGGCCCCCGGGCCCAGGGGCCATTTTTTCACATCCAAAATGATGGAAATGCTTGGTCCCGAAGGGAATGTCCCGCCACAATGGGGCTGCAGGAGAGGAACGTGAGGGAATGCGGCGTCAAAGGGGATGTCGCGGGAATGTGGCGTCAGAGGGAAATGTGGCATCAGGGGGGAATGTGCGTCAGGGAATGCAGCGTCAGAATGTGGCGTTAGGAGGGAATGTGTCGTCAGAATGTGGCGTCAGGAGGGAATGCGGCGTCAGAGGGGAATGTGGCGTCAAGGAATGTGTCGTCAGAATGTGGCGTCAGGGGGAAATGTGGCATCAGGGGGATGCGGCGTCACGGCATTAGGGAATATGCCGTCAAAATATATCGTCAGCGTGAGGCACTAAAGTGCTGAACACATCCCCGCCTCTGAAGCCTTAAACTTCTATTGAATATTGTTAATTATTGAATGTTTTTTCGGCCAGATCGTGTTTGCAAGCGTGTTCGTGATGGACGGATGCGTGACTACCCTTTTTTGCGTTCCATGTTCCATGATTTTACATGGGCTGCCGCTATTAGGTGCTCCGATATCTGGAGAAGATTCTCGGCTGGTGGCCGCCTGGGATGAGCTCCCTACAGAGTCACAGAGAAAGATCCTGGAGAATTTGGAGATACTGACTTCTGAATCTTCTGAATCTTCTGATGAATGAGTGCCGGGTGCCCTCATTTTCCAGTTTTTGCCATTGCCCACGGAAGTCCTCTCTCACCTTGCCATTTGTGCATCCTTGCAATGATCTATACCTAAGCCCAAACTCTTTCAATATTTTTGAATTGGTACAGTTACGTTCACGTCCTTGTGAGTTCCTGCCCTACAAAAGATGGGGAGCTGTCAATCGACAAGACATGCGGTGCTTCAATGGAGATGATACAGGTACAAGATGGTACAAGTACATACAAGTACTAGCTGCTTTGATTCAATCAATTGTGCTTTTTTTTTGGGTGGTAGGCTGAAAACTTGCACGATTTTTTGTGTTTTTGTTCCTGCCTTCGGGAAGCACTTCACTGAGCTTGTTTGTTCCACGGACAGAAGCCGCCTACGATGCCATGGTTTCCCAGGCATATCATGTTTCCTTGACCATTCTCTCAATGATTCAAAGAGAAAGGTCCCATTTGCCAAGAGGATTCTCTACTGTTTGGGGATGGTCGGATGAACGCCGGAAATCAGATGCCTCAAGACCATCAGTGATCGCTTGGCACCAAAGCCTAAAAAACGGCAGTTAAGGGACCAGTCGGCAGCGCGAGAAAATCTAGCATGACCAGCTGTCAAAAAGCATGTAAGCACATCAAGTCATCAAGTCTGTCACGGGTTGAAGGCTCAAACCATGCTCTGACGACTCATTGTTTGGTCTACTTGAGTTTCCTGCGTTTCTTATACATGAACTGGTCAGTGGTCATGAATATGTCTAAAAGATTCTAAAAGAAAAGGCATTGAAGCGCAACAATTCATTCAAAACATCTCAGGCTACATGAAAACTTAAAGGTGTTAGCAGCAAGCATCTTCTCGACCATTTTTGATATTGTCTTGTCTGTGGCCGAGGGTGGCTTTCCAGGATGGAAACAGCCTGATGGAATTGTAGTTTCCATGGTGCTTGCGCTTGTGGTCCAGCAAGATCGTCAATCAGACGACTGGCACGAGGTGTCCTCGTCCAGGCTTGTGGCCATGATTCATGCAGCCACGAAGCCTTACAGATGGCCACACAGTCGGTGCCATGGCACAAATTTAGCAGCTTCTGAACATCAAAGCAACTAGATGTTTTACGAATTATATCGAATTATGGTCAATATTGTTGGATGTCTTTCATGGCTATTTGGAGCGCCGGCCACCAAGCAGATAATGGGTTTACGATTTACAATGTGCCCCATATAGACAGATTGCATCAGATTGCATCAGATTGCTAGCTAGCTGAATGAACAGATGGATAGATGGATGGATAGAGATGTCAATCACAGACAGATATTCAGAGAGTGGGAGCCAGAGATAGGCAGATAGAGAGAGAGAGAGAGCAGCTACAGTGGATAAGTACAGTACAGAACAGATTAATGCAAACAAAATTAGATTGTATAGATAGATAGATCGATCGATCGATCAATACAGATTTAGGAAATCATGGTAAATCCAAGGCGAATTGGGTAACTTTGAATTAAACAGATGTCGGTCTATAATACTATCGGGTAGGTTCAGCGGTTTAGATGGATTTTTGTAGGTAAGTGTTAGGTAGGTTTAGCCAGTTTAGATCAATTATATACGCTAGACTAGATAGCATATGCATGAACATGAAGGAAACAACTCAAACGATTCGACACGCACTGACACTACCACATCCACCTGTGGTTCTATCCTGCACTGAAGTATACTGAAGTCTTTTGGGATGCAGAGTGCCGATGCAAACCCCGACTCCGAGGCCACCAAAACCAGCAGAGTCCGTCCACTCTGCGAAAACTTACGTCAGACATTGGCAAGCTTGATCCGAAGCCCCTTGACTTCGGTACGGATCATGCATATATGATATAATTGATATAATATATATATATATATTTGCACCATAGATCTCTGTAGCATCCTATGGATATTGTGTCAGTGGCACATGAACTTGCTTGTCCCGCCAAACATGCTGACTAGTTGGTCGGTCCTGCTTAGTCCTACGTGTGAGCTTCAGAGATTGTGCCAGGTTCTGGGAATTTAATTTGGAATTCGTTCAGCAGTTGAAGGAGCAGTCCCTGAACCTTGCCAGAGCAAGGGCGGGTCTGAAGTCCATGAAAATGAACTTCGCAAGAATTCATGAGTAACCAAAGAGGCACTGCGAAGAGCTGATGATCCACTTGTTTCCAATTGCCATCACTGTGCATGATGGGCTCACAGTGCCGGTAAAGGCCAACACATCCCTAAAGCTTGGGTGTTTGATTTGAACAGCGCCACAATTTCATGTGAGAGATTGGTCAAATTGAATCCTGTTGCTTCCTGGACTTTAAACACGAATTCTACGCACGCAAGCGCCAAGACAAGACCTTTGATTGAACGGTATACAGTATACATTTTGCATATTTGTTTGATGTTTTTGGAGAAGCATCACTTTTCAATGTTGGACAGAATTCAAAACGAATAATAAGCAGCTTTCTCAACTTTGAGTCTCAATGTTTCTTCGTGGCTCATTCTTCACTCGGGGACTTTGAAGTGCCGAGGCAGCCCGACGTGTTTTTTTGCGCATCCTCGTCTGCTTCGCTGGGCCGTGTTCGTTACTGGCAGTTGGCGCTCGCACAGCTGGATTTGCTGGGCAGCAACTCACCCGACATGATCCTTGAAAAAGACTTGCAGGGTTTTGCAGAATTATGGTTTTGGGATGTTTTAGGAATATGTCACTTCTAAGCTTCAGCTTTTCTTGACTGGCCCGCATTGGTTTCAAATCTGGGTGCTCATGTTTGCGATTGATTTGGTTAGAGATCACTGAAAGACAGGATATGTTTCAATGCCGTGAGCTCTTCTGCTGTAAACGCGTCTGCGTGGCCTTTTGCATGCAAAATCTTGGAGACGGCGATGTGTGCTCTGGCACGTTTACGCTAGTTGTTACGATTCGTTGGGATCATCACTGGAGCAAAGGCCCCAAACAAAGTCAAGGGCAACCAGGGCAACGACATGCAATGACCAAAGTGCGAAGTGGTGTGAAGTGGTGACAGTAGCGAAGTGATGACTAAAAAGTGTTGTGAAGCGATGACTAAAGTGATGTGGAGTCTCAATGTCATCCCATTCATTGCACTCTGGCCACCGTAGTGTGTATATATTGATCTTTTGGATACACTGACCAACTTTACTCTTGCTCCGTTGACGAGGTCGGGCGTTAGAGCCAAGCACAGAGACGTTTCGCAGCCTGATGGGTTCTGCGCTGTCTTCTAGCGATTGGCCACTAGCTCTCCAAATGCTCTCGGAGACTTGACAACCATCCAACAGTTTTGTTCTTATCATCCTTAGCATTCCAAAAAGCCTGCTCCAGACCCCTTTTGTCGTTCGTGATCTACATACAGTCCAAGTCTGAGTTGATTGTTTACTGTAATTCTTACATAATTCTTACATAATTCTTACATACATGTTTGGAATATCGTGGCCACAGATTTCTCTTGGCAATCGCAGTAATCATGATGAGATGTGTTGGGAGCATTCTTCCCAACCCAGCTCAAGTTTAAAATCCAGAAGGAAGAATACTGAATGGTCCTTCATTGGCAACTCACTCGCAATCTTGTTGGTGATCCTTTGACATTTTTTGGAGCACGCTTGACTCTTGCAAATCCTGGGCGGAAGGACATCTCTGCAAAACGCGCTTCCACTATATCTGCTCATATTTCACCAGCAATCGATGCTTGTGGAAGTGCCATGTGGCCAGCTGCCCTCCACCTTTTTGACAGCATGAAACTGTTTGGGGTTACTTTCACTGCCTCACATGAAGGTATCGTAAAAGTTCTCGGTCTCAACTGGGCCATGTCCTTGCAAGTGACGATGCACGTCCCGGATTGTCTTGCAGATGCTGCACTCTATCGTCAAGCCTTGCTTTCATGCCTGAGAAGTGGTGAGCTGATGCAAGCACTGAGGCCGAGACGTCCAAGAGGGTGCGACCATATGGTTTTGGCTACATCTGAGTACCGGATATGCTTTGTTATGCTTTGTTCTTAATCAGCTTCTTTTGCTCGGAAGGTTAGGTTACATTGACCCTGGTGTACGTCCAGTGAAAACATGTTGATGCGCTGCCTTACGTGCCTTTTTTTGGTATTTTTTGGTTGTTTCCTTATCCTTTTGCAATTAGCCTGGGTGATTGCCCTAGCTCTCGGCGGAAGGCTGTTGGAGCGATGCCGTTCCCACGGCATCCAGTCCACTCTGGCCATGCGCGGGGCTTTCCTTGCAGCTTGCGAAGATCATGGAAGTTTATGGCAAGAAGCTTTACTTGTGTATCATCATTCATTTGCCATCAACAGCATTGATGGCACAATGAGCAACTCTTTACTCTGCATGTGTCGAGCACACCGGCAGTGGCAGTGGAGCCATCGTCTATTTTCAAGCTCCGCATGCTCCGCCAAAGCTTCAGCCAGCGCCTACATCAGCTCCATGGGTCACGTCAGACAGTGGGAGAGTGCAACCGACGCACTCGCCATGCTGCGCACCGGAATGTGTCAAAGATTGGGCAGCTTGGGAGATGCAGACTGGGATGCTGCCATCAAGAGCATTGGAAATGCCGGTGCCAACTGGCGTGGGTCCCTTCAGTTGTTGCAAGGACGACTCGGGAAACACAGAGGAACCCGATATGGTTTCAGTGCAGCCATGGGTGTCAGCCAGCAGGGTCAGCAGTGGATTCATGCTGCCCAGTTGCTGATGCAAATGCAGCAAGGCGATTTGGTGCCAAATGCAATTTCCTACAGCACTGTGGCTGCCGCCGTTCAAGAATTTCGGCACTGGGAATCGACAGTCAACATGCTTCACCTGGCCCCAAGAGGAGACTCCAACTGCCACTGCTTGAATGCTTTGATTAGCTGTTGCGAGAAAGCAAGAGCCTGGAGGTTTGCATTGCAGTCTATAGGACACATGCAGGTGATCAGGCTCATGCCTGATGGTGTTACTTTTTCTTCCGGTATTGCTGCATGTGAAAAGGGTCTGAAGTGGTCCTTTGCACTGCACTTGTTGGATCAGAATTACAACCCACGCCCACTTGACACAGAGCGATCAATACAAGGAAGTGCTGCCTTGAGCGCAGTTGCTCGGTCGAGCAACTGGCAGATGGCCATGGCAGTGGTGAGTGAGGTGGTGGATCCAAAAAGACCTGAGGTCCTGACAGTGTCATCTGCCCTCCTTGCGCTCAATAGCAAGGAAGCGAGCGCGTATGAACTTCGAAAGGCGCGTGGCTGGTTGAATCACGTTGCAGCAGAAGCTGTGAGTGACTTGCAGTGGAATTCAGAGGATTCAGTGGAATCATTTGCCTATTGGCCTGTGTCACATGTTTGAACTATTCAACAGAGTTTTTGTCCTGCAGTGTGGCGTACAGTCACAATGCAAGATATCATGATTCGTGATGATGCTGTTTGGATTTCGGGGGCGGGGTAGATTTTTGACTTCCTGTACTTGCTCTTCCAAGGCACCAACTTGGACCAGACACCACGTGTCAGACACCGTGCTGCCTACATGGCAGCCGAGCTTTTGGATGAACATGATGCTTTATCTTCTTCTGTTGCGGCCTGCATTGCAGCCTGCATCTCAAGAAACTCCCAACTCGCCCAACTCTTCAAGTTCAAGCGCTCCAAATTGACACTGGAGATTTGGCCGCCGGTGCCATCCTGGGAGCTGAGAAAACACTTGGAGGGGTGGTTTCTGGACAGAACGTGGCAGAATCTTTGTTGAACATACTCATATATATAATTATATATATATACTAATATATACTGTGGCTCAAAATGTGAGTGTGTAGGTTCAAGTAGGTTCATGAGTAATTTGTGATTTGGCTTAGCCACAGTACGTGTTTGTCAAATTCTGTCAACACCGCCTTGATAACCAAAGGCTGCCGCATGATTTGCAAACTGAGCAGCCTAGTTGGAGTACACGAAGGTGGCTGGTTTCAGCAAAAGTGCTCGCGCGTCGACAAAGTCAGATTTCCTCCTTTGGCCCCTTGTTTTCGAGTGAATTAGTGATCTTCAAATTTGCGAGTGAAGCTTTCGTGAGTTTTCCCCAGGACAATTTGAACCGGATTCTGTCAAGAGTTGTGCAGCTTTCAAAGCATAGAAAGGGCCTGGTCAGATCCAGTTGGAACACGTTGAACAAATTTGAACAGCTATGTGTTTTCAATGTGTTTGATTTTCAAGGCCATGAAGTGTTTGCAGAGCTGGTGGCATGCTCCACCATGGCTTCCCTTCCTTGCTACATATCCACCCCTTCGGGAGCAAGAGATAAACGTCATTGTCAGTTCCAAGCTGGCCACTCTGCTAAGTTGACTGGCCACCGAAGTGAAGACGGTGAAAGCGGCAGGCGGCATGATATAAATGTCCTGCCTTCATTTTCGATTTTTGGGCTCGTTTGTTTCATGCTTGATGATGTTTGATCATTGATCCTTCTCTTTTTGAAACGTGCTTGTGAGCTGGGCAATGGTGGCATCCAGACTCTTGGGCCCCCTGCGAAGGCTTCTGATAGCCGTCGAAGGCGAAGGACGACGAGAACCACATGCAGAACGACAAGCTTTGCTTGACATACTTTGCACACTGGTTGAACTGGAGAAAGAGAACAGCATCCAAAATCGTCAAAATTAATGGTCCTAAATTCAGACAAATAAAACGATAATGAACAAAAATGAATTTTCATAAATTATCAAAGCAAAATTAAAAACAACCTGAAAATAAAAGCCACAATATGTTGAGTATCAATATCATTATATATTTATTCAAGTTAATGGACCCGAAGGATCACTAAAGCATGTTTGTTTTGCGATGCATAAATGACGTTTGTTTGATCTAAAGGTCCTTGTAAAGAATAATTGTTGAGAAAACCGTGCCCGTTAAAAGTTACGCGAAGGAACGTACGAAAATAAAAATGCATTTTGAAAGGAACCCTTATGCAAAACAAACAAAGATATAATTTATGTACAAAAGCAATTATCTGTTTTGAACAGAGGTGAAGAATGATGGTGATGTTATATGTTTATATAGCTTTCATATAATAATTTATCAAAATTTGGCGGGCGATGTTTTTTTTTTATGAGACGCTTCCCCTAGATGGTCCCGTAAGATTTGGATTGGAAATTGCGAAATTATCGCGAGAATATATGCACATTTTGCGAAGAATTACTATGTTCTTTTCAAAACAACATATTATAAAAGTTTATATAATTTTAGGAATAAATATCGTAAATCTAATTATTGAATATTTATTTTATAAATTTATATGGAAATTGCGCGGGTAAGGGATTTCTGTGGCTGGATGGATCGGTCGAAGTCGCCGTCCGGGATGAAAAGAGGCAAGCCAGAGCTCTTTTGAGCGAACTGGAAGAAAATCTTGGGAAAATGGACGATAAATATCCGATGTTAACCTGGTTGAGCAGGCATGCGGCATTTTGCCTTGGAAGATTCTCCATCAAAGACAATGGTAAGATACCCTATCAAATGATGACTGGACGAAAATGGAATCGACCGATGGTGAGCTTCGGAGAGCGGATTTGGTTCCGCCCTCTAGATGCGTACAAAATTGATGGTGAAAGATAACCCGAAAGAAGAGCAGGAGACCTTGGAAGAAGGGTCATGAGTGGATACTATGTCGGAATACATGGTAGAAATACAGATATCTTGGTAATGACAACGCAAGGCGTCATCAAAGGAAATATTGTCCATCGGAAATCTGAATCTGAACGATGGGATCGGTCAGAGCTGGTAGAATTGAAAGGCGTTCCCTGGGCGCTTCGCCCGAGGAGTGCTGAAGATTTGGAGCATTGGCTCCACATCACCTTGCCAGAGACAACACAGAGGTTGACTCCCACTACTAGAGATGGAGGACCAAGACAGCTCTATGTAAGAAAGAAAGGCCTTGAAAAGGAAGATGGAACGATGGATTATACACCAGGGTGCAGAGGATGCGAGGCACTCATGGTTGGACTGTCTGCAGTTGCACACAATTCGACTTGCCGAGGAAGGTTGGAACAAAGGTTGGCCGAAACAGAGGAAGGAAGGAAGAAATTGGAATTGGCTGATGTCGAAAAGAGGCTGGAAGGAAAGGAGAAGAAAGCAAAGCAAGCAGTCACGGGACTGCCGGATCCCACAGAAGGAGAAGTAAGGTCGTCAATGGCCTTAGGACAGCCTGAAACCGAAGAAGGAGAGACTTCACCGAAGAGAGGTTCGGAAGGTACTGAGGGTGAAAGAACCGGAAAGACAACGAAGGCCAAGGCCAGAGAAAAGAGACCAGGAACATCCCTGGACGATTTATATTATTATGAGATCGGCGACGTTGGACCCCGGATTGTTTTAACTGGTGAACCGATAGGAACTCAAGCGGAACCTCCGGCTGCTTCAGCAGGAGGGGCTGCATCAAATTCGTTAGCTGGTCCAGCAGCGGGTCCAAACCCACCAGACATTATTGCCAGAGAACACGATGGAACACCAACGTGTTGTATTTAAGGAACAAACATCCAATCGTTATTCACGAAAGGTAGCCTCCAAGCGGGCAACCTTGAGTTTTACTTTGCGAAGCAAAGGGGCGGGCTGGACCCCTTATCCCTGAACGACCAGGAGAAAGGGACCCCCCCCGCGCCCCCCTCCCCCCCTCATCATCAGCCTCAGCCTCAGCCTCAGCAGCAGCATCAGCAGCATCAGCAGCATCATCATCATCATCATCGTCATCATCGTCATCATCATCATCATCCTTTGCATCCTCCTCGTCGCCATCGTTCGCATCCTCCTCGTCCTCCACATCCTTACATCATCATTATTATCCTCCTCATCATTATCATCATCGTCATGTTATTCCTATCATCTTTCTATCATATTTATCCTTATCATCAGCCTCAGCATCCTCATTATCATCATCTTCCTCCTCATTATCCTCATGTTATTCCACATGTTCCTTCCTGTCGCTTTACGCATAGACGCAAACACAGAAATTTTTACACAGAATTTTTACACACAGAATTTTTACACACAGACTCCTTTACACACAGGCACTCTTACACACAAACACTTTTACACATAGACTCCTCTTTACACACAAACACTTTTACGCACAGACACTTTTATACACAGATTATTTTACACATAGATACTTTTACACATAGAAGATTTTACACACAGACACTTTTACACACCTATTTTATACACAAACACTTTTACACACAGAAGCTTTTAAGCACAGAAGCTTTTACACACAGAAGCTTTTACACACAGACGCTTTTGCACGCAGACACTTTTACACATAGACGCTTTTATACGTGTGATAGATTCCTTTACATACAGACACTTTTACACACAGACATTTTTACACACAGACCCCTTTACACACGGATGCTTTTATACATAGACACTTTTACATACGGACCATTTTACACATAGATACTTTTACATACAGAAACTTTTAAACACAGAAATTTTTACACACAAACTCCTTTATACATAGACCCTTTTATACACAAATACTTTTACACACAGACACTTTTACACATAGAAGCTTTTACACACAAATACTTTTACACCCAAACAATTTTACACAAAAACACTTTTACACACAGAAGCTTTTATACACAGAGATTTTTATACACAGACTCCTTTACACACAGACATTTTTATACACAGACTCCTTTATATACAAACACTTTTATACACAGACATTTTTATATACAGAAATTTTTACACACAAAGACCTTTACACATAGACTCCTTCACTTACAAACACTTTCATACACAAACTCCTTTACACACAGAAAATTTTACACACAAACTCCTTTATACACAGACACTTTTACACCCAAACACTTTTACATACA